TCTCTGGAGACAGAACCAAAAGAGTTGCAAGTTCAAGGCCAGCCTGGACATGCAGCGAGACCTTTCCTCAAAATAAAATAAAAAATGTAGCTCAGTGGCACAGCCCTTGCCTAGAATGTGTGAGTCCAGAACTTCCATCGCCAGTTCCTCAAAAGCTGAAAAGAAACTAGGTTATGCAGGCCCCAGTGGTTTGAAGATTTCCCCCTTCTTGTTGCATTTTTTTGACATCCAGTGTGATTCCCGTGTGGCCCAAGAACACGTGTGTGTTTCAGCTCCTTCAGGTGAGCAGCGCACGGTGCCATCCACGTTGGCCTGTGCTCCAGGATGTACAAAGGTGCAGTGCCCGCTATGGCTGAGTACGGGGCCCGGTGAAGGCTGCGTGGGTTGTGCAGGAGCCACGGTGCTGAGTTCCGCATCCTCCTGTTTTCTTGCAGAGGCCCCAGCTCCTGCTGGACCGTCCCCTCCATACCTCGCTGGCCACTGCCTCCTACTGCCCCCAGACACGCACCCTGGCATCTCTGTCCCCGCCCACAGCTCTGTGAGTGGCATCATTAGCAACCCTTTTCCACGCCAGCTGTGTCCTGCTGGGGTCTCACCAGATGGCCCTGGCCCCGGGCACCCACCCCTCTCCAGGATGCCGATGAGGACACCTCCAGGGCAGATGAGCCCACACCTTGCCTATCTGCCCTGTGCTGTGGGGGCTGAGGCAGGAGGGTCAGCCTGGGCTACACGGCAAGTTTGAGAGCAGCCTGGAACATAGTGAGACAGACAAAAGGAGCGAGAGGAAGAGAGGGAGAAAGTGGGGAGAAAGGAGAGGGGTGACTCCTCCACATTTGTGGACGCTCAGTAAGGAGACCTGGTTCAGGAAAACAGGAGAGCCAGCTCCGGGTGGCAGGGCTCCGGAGCAGGAAGAGACTGGGCCTGCCTTAGTCGCTTTCCTGTTGCTGGGACGCAAGGCTAACACCCACAGCTCAGATGAGGACAGGGTTCAACTGGCTTGCATTGTGTGGGGATTCAGTCCATGGTTGGCTGGCCTCAGGATGGAGGCAGCACGGTGGAAGGGTGTGGCGGAGCAAAGCGGCTTGTCTCATGGCGGCCAGGAAGCAGAGCAGGGAGGAAGGGCTGAGGGGCCAGATACAGACCCAAGGCCATGCCCCACACCCCGCCAGACACTCCCAGAAGTGTGTTTTACTCATCTCCTCAGCTGCTCTGAAGCCCTAACTGTCACAGGGTCGACTCCAGTACAGGACAGGCAACGGGAGACCCAGAGCTACAGACAGAGCCCCGATGGAAAATCCCTACAGGGTTCCTGAGGTCCGGCTGGGAGACCTGATGTGCCTGGGGGGTGAGGGAAGTGGAGGAACCACTCAGGTATCCCAAGTGACTGCAGGGGTGGAGTTGTTTTACTAAATCTCCTTGGCAGAGTTTTTGCCAAAACTGCATTTTACGAGCTCTCCCCAGATGGGCCCAGGACAGGGGTCAGAACCTGAGAGAAGATGGGCAGAGCAGAGGACCTATCACAGGCCACAGAGGAATGAGGTGGCCACCAAACAGATGGACCACAAGGGGTTAGCCAAGTGCTGAGCAATTCTGCAGGGCCACCTGGGTGTCGGCTAGGACAGCTGGGGGCCACACAAGGGACCTTACCCCCACTTGCAAACCCCAGGCCTCCACAGGCTGCTGACAAGGAAAACTGGACAGTGCAGACAGAGCCCCAGGTGGCAAGTGTGTCAGGCCGGGCTCCGGGACACAGAGGCAGAAGATTCCTGTCCCCAGGGTGCGGCAGAGGCCCAGATTCTCAGGGAGAGGAAAGACAAGGCCATCGGCCCCAGTGGGGGAGAGGGCTCGATCCCCAGGACAGGGCCAAGGCACTGCCAGGAAGAAAAGCAGGCTGCTTGTGGGTCCTGCAGCCAGGTCGGCCACTGCACAAGGCAGAGTCCAAGGTAGAGGCAGGCTGCTGGGAGAGTGGGAGGGGCCCCGGCCAAGCAGGACAGCAGCCAAAGAGAGTCCCACACTGCAGCCCCTCAGGCTGGAGGGACAGAGGCCTGTGCTGCACGGAGGTGACCCTGACGGCAGCAGCCCACCCAGCCCACTCCTGCCTGGCGTCTCCCAGGAGGGCGCACAGGTGGGGCCTGCTGACCCCAGAGTCTGTGGAGAGAGGGTGGGGCAATGTTCAGGGCTTTCCTACGGATCGGAAGCTCTGTTGTTAGGAGCATGCACGTTTAGGAATTTAGGAAGCCAAAAGACAAAATTACAACAAATTTAGCATAAAATGGCCAGGCGTGGTGGTGCACACCTATAATCCCAGCACTCAGTATCTAATTGGGTTTTTCTTGTATTCCTTTTCCTTTTGTGCTGGGGATAAAAACCCAGGGCCTCGTGCATGCTAGTCACACACTGTATCACTGAGCTACACCCTCGGCTCTGATAGGCTTTTGTGAATTGGGAAGCCACTCATTCTACATAAGATGAGGTTTCATCGAGCTGAACAAAGGAGTTGGCTTTGTGGGGTTTTGGTTTTTGTTGTATTTGTTTTGTTTTTGTCTTGTTCTGCTTGTTTGCTTAGTTGGTTTTTGTTTTTTTTAGACATTGTCTCACTATGTAGTTCAGGCTGACATTGAATTCACTGTACCTCAGGCCTCAAAATTGCAGCGATCCTCCTGCCTCAGCCTCACAAATTCAGAGATTACAAATATGCACCACCACACACGCAGCTAGGAGTTGGTTTCACAGGCAGAAAGGGCTGAGCAAAGCAGAAATAGAGGACAAGCAGCAGACTAGCCGTCCGGAAGATGCACCTGGGCAAGGCCAAGCAGCGGGGACTCCCTCACTGTGCTGAAGCGGGTGGCCTGGCGCCTCCCAGCTTGGATGGCAAACCGGCCCATTTTGGAGCCCAGCTTGAAGGCACAGTACTTAGCACCTGTGGGCTGTCCCATCGTCCAGGTCCCTGCAAACACACTTGTCCAAATCAGAGAAGTCCACAGATTTCATTAAACAGGACACACTGTGCACTGAGAGCTGGCCCCTCTCTTCCTGTGACTCCTGCTGTATCCCTGCCTGGTCGCTGCACTGTCCATCCTGAGCCTGGCTTTCTCCAATACGAACACTGCACTCCAGATGTTTTCAGAACCGGTGCTGCAATGTGCCTCTTCCCATTCTTTTTATTTTTAACCTATGTCTTCCTATTAAATTGGGTTTATTTTTTATTTGTTGTTTTGTTTTTGAGACAAGTTCTGTGCAGTTCAGGCTGGCCTTGAACTCACTACGGAGCCCCAGATGACCTCAAATTCACAGCAATCCTCCTGCTTCAGCCTCTGAGTGCTGGAATCATAGGTATATGCCACCACTCGTGGTCTATCTTAGATAGCATATAGATAGATATTTTTAAAAATAGCATCTAGAAACCATGATAGATGTCATTTTCTTAAATAATTTTTAAAGACCCAATTAAAATGTCAGATGTTTTTATTTTGATTCATTGACAATAGTGTAAGGAGCACACTGTGAACCAGTCCCAGCTGAAGGGAGAATTAATACACTGGAAACTGGCTCTGATGTACAAGGAGATGAAGGTTAAACAATGCTAAAGAATGCTTCCAACAAGGGAGATAGAACAGGAAGCTCTTGCTTTTGTTTTGGAGTTGGGACAGGGTCTCACTATGTAGGCCAGGCTGGCCTTGAACTTGTGATCCTACTGCCTCAGCCTCCCAAGTACCAGGCTCCAGGATAAGAAACTCTTGTATAGAACTATGAAAAGGAGATAAAATGGAAAAGACAACATTGAGAGATAATCAACATTCTCAGATTCTTTTATTTAGGAAAAACCAATTCAAAACTGTACAGTGGTTAGATTTTGTGTTTGGCAGCTAGTTATAAAAAATCAAAACAAGAGTCGCTTACACACGATATGGACTAATTTTCCTCACATTATGAAGCCTGAAGATGGGCAGCTAGGAGGTAAGGGCTAAGAGAGTCCCTGGCTGTTCTCTCGGCTCCTGGAGGAACTGTTCCTCACCCAGCCCAACCCAGAGTCAGTCACATGAGTCCAAGTCCCAGCGTGGCCCTAGCCATGGAGCGGCAGAGGACACCCGCTGGGACTGCGGCGCCACTCAGACATGAGAGAGCAGACTCCTGCCCATTTGCAGCTCCTTCAGTGGCTCCCTGGGCCGAACGCTTATTGGTAATACAAGAGTTTTGGGCTGGGGAATTCCGTCTTTAATCCTGTGTCTGAGCCCCATTTCACCAGAGATCCAAGTCCTCCTGGGTTTCCACTTCTCCATCTGTAACACAGGGCACCCAGGTGAGGAAGGCACGGGGATCTGGGCTCGTCACAGCAATGGTCAGCACTGTCACCGCTGGCAGGCAGGGGCTCCCAGACCAGGCTGCATTCCTGCAGACTTCAGGGAGCAGGTGACGCCCTGGCTGGCCACCACGGACAATGCTGATTCTGATTGGTCCCCTTGTTGCCCACAGTAACCAGCCAGGGAACCAACCATTATGCACAGCTATTTACCCACGCTCATTCTCCCGTGCACCAATGTACTTATCCAACTGCCGACCTGGACCTCAAAACAAACTCACTGTCCGTGCACAGCATCCGGTCTGGTCCTCCTTACCCTGAGCCTCACAGAGTGTGCAGCCAAAATGCCGTTTCCCGGGATTTCTCTGCGATCTCCCCCTTCCCTTCCAGGCCCTTCTGCGTGGCTAAGTGGTCCAGTTGCTGCCGCCTTGTAGTTGGGTTCACCGGCCACCATGTGTTCCATCCGGGACCCCCGCACCCTGGCTGACATGCAGTTTATTTTAGCCGTCCGTGAACAGCACTACGACTCTAAGCGGGAGAGTTACACACACACATGCGCACACAATATCCTTAGAAAAACATCACTGGCCGGCGTGGTGGCGCACACCTGTAATCCCAGCACTAGGCTGAGGCAGGAGAATCGCTGTGAGTTCAAGACCAGCCTGGGCTGCATAATGAGTTCCAGGTCAGTCTCAACCACATAGTGAGACCCTGTCTCAAAAAAACCAAAAAAAAAAAAAAAAAACATCACTGGCTCATCCCTCTGCTGCTCATCTCTTCTTCCCGCTCCATCCCATCACCCCCGCTGCTGCCCGCCCTTTCATCTCTGGTTTCTCCCTCCATTTTGCACAGGAGCGATGCCTGCCATCCGCCCCCCACATTCTTACACGAGGGTCACTCGCTGCACATGCGCCACTGCACCCTGCCTTGCGCTTTCAGAGCCCCTGGTAACCAGCCGCACCGGCTCAAAGGTCTTGACTGGTGACAGAGGAACGGCCGTCACTCCTCCAGAAACCAGACAGGGGGTCTGTTTCTCCTGAGCCTCAAGGGTGGAAAGCATCTGTCCTTTTAGCTAAATGTTATCCATCTGGCCGGGTCTGGCCCTTGGTCCCTCCACTTGTAGGAGCCTTTTCAAGTAAGACTTAACAAAGAAATAGAGCTCTCTCGGGTGTATGTTGCAAGTATTTTCTGCTTTCTTGGTTTAGTTGTAATTTTATTTGTACCAAGTCAGATTTATCAACCCTTTCCCTACTGCCCCTGCATTCTAAGTTACACACTTCCCTAGAACAGGGAAGCGTCTGTATCTTCTACTGGTACTGGGGTGACTGCCTGATCTAGCCGGACTTGGACTTCACTCCTGGGCATGGAAAGAGTCGTGGACTGAATTCCGTCTTCTTCCCAAGGGCAGCCCGGCTGCCTCAGCTGTTTTAGGAGCCGCTCCGCTACCCAGTGATCTGACACCTCTGCGGCTCACAGCATTTCCAGGCATGCTTGCTGTCCTGGGTTCTCTTTCCCACGCCACTGGCCCCTGTTCACGTGCTTACACAACAGGGCCGATGACCGCAGTTTGATGTGAGTGCTAATGCTGTCGGGACTGTTCTTTTCTGTTTACCTGGTTATTTTTTGGTTTGTTCGGGCTTCCGGGTTTTCTTTGAAGGCAGGGTCTCACGGTGTGGTCCTGAACTCATAGGCTCAAGCAATCCTCCTGCTTCAGCCTCCCAAGTAACTGGACTACAGGCACTGGTTTTCCAGCTATCTTGTATCTCTCTTTTTCCACATACGTTTCAGAATCAACTTACCTAACTATAAAATAACCTGATTGAGACTGCTTTGCACACATATAAAGGCATCTGGGGAGAACTGACACATATGCTTAGCTCTCCTATCAAGATTGAGAGATGTCTCTCCATGTGTCTAATTTGATTTTTGTGCCTTTAGAGACATCTAAAATTTCATCATGGAGGTCTGCACATTTCTTATTAAATTTGTTCCTAAGCACTCTCCTCCTCTATCACAAATGGGCTTCTCCTCTCTGACCTGTTTATCGTTCACATACAGGAAGGCTGGCTTTTGTCTTGACTTTATCTCCATCCACTGCGGTAAGCGTCATAGCAGCAATCCGGGTGTCCGCACCGGTCACCATCACGTCCTCCGCGGACAGAGCTCTCCTTCCTCACCTGTGTCACTATCAGCGAGGACCCCTGCCAGTGCCAAAGAGGACAGGTGGGCGCCCTGGCCCTGCCCTATCTTAGAAGAAATGCAGCCAGTCTCTTTGGAAAGTGAAGCACTGGCTCAGGACTCAGATGTACACACTCAAGAGTGTATCCTGAGCCGGGCATGGTGATGCACGCCTGTAATCCCAGCACTCAGGAGGCTGAGGCAGGAGGATCAACCTGAGTTCAAGGCCAGCCTGGCTACACAGTGAGGTCCTATCTCAAAGACAGAAATCTATTATCAAAATAGAAATAGTGCACACAGAAACTAAGTGGCAGAGCCAGTTCTTCCCGTGCATTCACAGAACCCTCCAGCCAACAGTGCACGCTCTTCTGATAAACACGCACACAGCAACCTCTGTGCCCGCCGGCCCAGGAATGCAGTCGGAGACCCAAGGCAGGCAAAACCAGAAGGGGCTCACGGAAGTCTGAGGAAAAACCCAGTGAGCAGATGCCGGCCACACCACCACAGAAGCCGGACAGGAGCCAGTGCCTGACACCTCATATGTGGGATGCGGTTACAAGTTACAGGTTACAGGCTCACCGCTGCTTGCGTGTGCCCAGGGCCTGGAAGCTGGCTGCGCCCCAGGTCGGCAGTCCCCGTGGGGAGACCTGCAGAGATGAAGCTGGGGCAGTTGCTCCTGCCTTACACCACCAGTCCTCACTCCCAGTCGGGGCTCTTGCAATGAAGTGCCCTGTGGACCCCAGGCTGCCTGCAAACATCACGGTCTGATTTCACACTCTGGCCCGAGCCCACGACAGCGCATGTGCACACCCACAGGCCGGCAACTCCTCCCCATGCAGTCCGCCGACCCCCCCATCCACAGGCTCTGGTGTTCAGATTCAGCCAACGTAGATCGAAATCATTCAGCGGGAGAAGCAGCTTGCCTGTCACGAAGGTGACAGCGACCTGTGCAACGTTTCCTGCAGGAGACGTGGTTCGTCACCCAGAGCATTTAGGGCAGTCAGATGCGAGGCCTCCGGCCTGTGGGGGTGCGGGCAGTCTTGGACCCACCTTCGCAGACCCACGGACAACTGCTCAGTGGCGGTAACACGCGTCCCGTGGCAGCCTAGACCTGGGGCTCCCAGAGCCCGTGCGTGTGGGAGGTGACTGGTCCCGAGGGCACTCTAGCCACCTTCACGGACCCACGGAAGAGCCAGCAGCCACGTGAGCTGAGGGGCCCACTGTACAGGTCCCTGGAGTCATCACCCGAAGGGCTCAGCTCCCTTCCTGGCCCCTCCCTCGTCTCCTGGCCACCGAGCCACGGCAGCTGTGCCCCAAGCAGACCCTCCTCTGCACTCTGCGAGTGAGCCGCCCGGGGACCCTTCTCAAACCGAGCCAAACGAACCGCTCCTCCTTCAGGCTGCTATGCATCGTGCATGTCCCAGCAGCGGGACACCTGGCAACAGCCTGGCCCTGCAGCTGAACCCCGAGACGATCCCGATGTCCACCCAGAGAGGACGCGCTGTGACTTCCCCGCAATGGCAGAGCGGCACTGCACCGGCCTTGCAGAGATGAACAGGGCGGCCGTCAGTCTCAGAGGGGACACGGTGTCCTCAGCACGTGGTGCTACACTCGCGCCCTGCGTGTACTTGCACACTACACACTGCAGTGCAGAGGGAAAGCAAGGAAGCACCAAGAATAAGCGTGACAGCCAGACTCCTTTTAATCAGTAAGAGGTAGAACAAAATCCAAGGGATGTCAAAAAGGTACACAGAAACTAAAAGGGAACAGAAAATAGGCATGTAGATAAGACAGATAAAAGGGAAGGGCATAACCAGGCCAGAGCTTCCAGGACAGACTGACGAGGAGACAGGTGGACAGGAAGCTGCTCTGACCCAGCCTGCAGCGTGGCCACACAGGGTCAGAGGGGAGGGAGTTGGGTGACACGCGAGGCGGGGCCAAGGTACAAAACCCTCTGAACACACGACAGGCCAGGACTCAGCCAAGCTACTGCACACGGAGCTCTCGGGACTCCAGCACCACGGGCAGGAACAAAGCCGACTCTCAGCTCCAGACCAGGGTCCCCACAGGCTGCTGAGGGCAGGAAGCCACTTCTGGCCCTGGGCTGCCGAGGCAGAGGCAGTGGGAGCACAGAAGGGAAGGCAGCAGCAGTAAGGTACGAGACCCCTTCCACCCAGGGTCCCCTGGCCCCAGCCTCCCCTGCACCACCGCACAGCTGTGGCCTGAAGCCTCCCAGCTGGACACCACAAGCAGCACCGTGCTGGCCCAAAAACTGAGGGCGTGGCCCGGGTCTTACAGCCAGGCACTCGGCCTGGACCACTCAGACACACGACAAAGGACCAAGGTACAGGCCCACGGCCCAATGGGACATGGGAACAGGCTTTTCTACAGAAGGAAACCAGCTCAGGTTATTTTGAGACAGTCTCACTATAGTTCAGGCTGGCCTCAAACCTGCAGTGATCCTCCTGCTACAGCCTCCCGAGTAAAAAAAATCACAATTTAAAAGGGATCTGAAGATGGGCCAGTGTGAAGGGTATACACCGACTACCTCAGGCCTGGCAGCCTCTGGGTCTGTCACCCTGATCCTGTGGCCCAGCACAGAGCAGAGCAGCTGTGTCCCAGAAGTGAACGGTATTCCTGGACCCTGAGAGCTGAACATGACTTTCCCATCATGAAACATTACTTTTCCTTTTGTTTTTAAAACCAAAAAACCGTTCTTGGTTCACACAGGGAGTAGGCGAGATCCGGCCCACGGCTCTGACTTGCAGACCCAAGCACATGCTGTGTGGAGCCCGGCACCCAGCAGGCCGCCCCTGCACCGCCTCCTCAGCCCTCAGAGCCCTGCAGGAGGCCGGACACCGACAGAGGAGGCCTGACTTCCCTTAAAGCCAAGGACAGCCGATGGCTGAGGACAGTGCCAGCGCTGTGCAGATGCCCACGGACAAGCAGGCCCGGCTTGGGGTCCACAGGGTGGGACCCCTGCACTTGAAGGTGCTGGGAAATGAGGCACTTGGGAAGCGAGTGCGGCAGCTGCAGCCGTGATGCCACTGACAGGGCCACGCATGTCGAGACAGGAACAGCAGCCGAGCTCGGCTCTGGGAATCAGCCGCTGCAGCCACGCTCCGCCGCAGCACACGTGCCGAGGACCAGGAAACAGGGTCTGGGGGAATCTGCACCCGCGAAGGGCGTCTCCTCTTTATGGGTAGACAGCTGGGCCCAGCGCCACCCCTACTGCCCTGCCCTGGCAGTGATCAGTCACAGACCCGGGAAGCCAAAGGCAGCGAGGGTGGACAGGACACTTCTGCGAGGCCCACACGGAGCCAGTCGCCACGAGCAGCTACCGAGCATGGGAGCCAAGAGCAGCCTCGGGACTGGTGGCCACGTGGGGAGCACTGCCCTGGGAGGCAGCAGTAAAGGCTGAGTATGATGGAGCCTGCAGGTTTCCCCGGAGGAAACCGCAGCTGGCCAGGATAGCTGGCACGACAGTAGGAGGGCGCAGGGGGTAACTGAGCCAATGGGTGAGCACAAGCACCCCAACATGAAGGGAGCGCTCATGGCCCCCGCCCCCTAGAAGGGCCAACCGGGCACAGGCGTGCTCAGGCCCGGAGCCAGATACCACAGCGGAGCTGCCCTCTTCCTAAGGGCAGCAGGGGCAAGGAAAGCCGAGAGACGCCCAGAGCGAAGGTCAGCACCCCAAGGCCATCCGACCGGCCTGCATCTTTTTATTCTGTCCCTGGGCCCCTGGCGGAGGGCTCTGCCGCCGCTTTCTCTCCCGTTGCTGCAGCCGCTCCTCCTTCCTTTTCAGGTAGGAGCTCACGTTGTCAAAGGTGGCCTTGTAGAGACCACGGAAGCCATCGTCCACAGTGGCAGAGCCTGCAACGGGACAAGAGCAGTGCCAGGTGGGACAGCAACTCAGAACTGGGGACTCAGCCCATCACAGTCAGACCCCTGGCTCAGCTCCCCAGAAGTCCTCCCAGGACAGGCAGGCAGCGTGGTGACAGCCCGGTGTCCTGTGACTTGGGGCCTGGGGACATTCCTGCGATGCTGGCCGGCCCCAGACCTGGGATCAGAATGTGGCCAAAGGGATGGGAAGGAGTGGGAAACCCAGCTCAGAGCCACCTGTCGGGACCCCGCGCCAGCCAGGCAGGGAGGCCTCTGCCCCAGGCCGACAGAGCCGCACCCAGACTCCGACCACAGAGCAGCGAGCCAGTCACGTGTGGCAGCAGCAGGGACAGCTGCGGGCCTGAGTGTCAGCTTCAGGGGCAACCACTAGCCACAGCCCAGACAGCCTCAGCCTGGTCACGGGACTGTCCCTGTGGCACGGTCACCTCCTCCTGCCCTCACACGCTGCATATGTCTTGGAAGTGGGAGCGGCCGGGCTGGGTGCTGTGCTGGGCACCGAGAGCTGCACCTGGGGTGGCCGTGAAGGGGCTGCGGAAGTGGGCCTGGACTGTGGGGGGGCTGCGGCTGCAGCCGCACCCTCTGCACCTCACAGAGCTCGGAAACCAAGCCTAAGTTCAAATACCCACAGACTCCACGGAGCCCTGCCTTCCACCTGGAGGTGAGCCTGGCTTCCGAGGTTCCTTCCTGTGGCCTCGTCTTTACCTCAAGGGATGCCCGGGCTGATGGCCTGTGGCCATCACCATCTCCTGTCTCTGCCCAACAGGGGCGTGAGGGGAGAGACACCCTGTAGCTGCCAGGGGAGCGACTGTGGCTCTGACCGGGGGGCCGACAGGAGGGCTTGCTGTACCCTGTCAACGACACTGCCCACCCGGACCATGCAACCAGGACATGCAGTTCCCAGGCCTCGTCTCCTCATCCTCGGGGCCACAGAGGCCCTTCCCTCATGCAACACTTCCCACTGCAGTCCCTGCCTGTGGTCCACTTGGTCACGGAGCCTCACTAGCACCCGGGGTCCCGATCTCACCTTCCAACATGGCCCAGCTCCCTCGGAGGTGGCTGCAGAGTCTCTGGGAGACGGTGCTGTCGGGAACGGGCTGGAGGTGATGAGGGAAGCCAGGATCAGAGGAAGGACAGACACCAGCAGTGCCTGTCTCCAAGGCCCCTCCACCCAGAGAAAGACCAGAGGGTTTGGGGGACTAAGGCACACAGCCAGGGGCTCTGGTAAGGGGTGTGGATGTTCATATGAATGCCCAACACACTGTGACCCCATGAGATGGGCAGGGACATTTGCACATCAGTGGGGTTCTTGTGCTCCAAGCCCCTCCAGGCCCCAGGTACAAGACCAAGCCACTGAGCCCGCCCCCATGAGGGGAACACCCGAGCCACACCCAGGGCCACTTCACTGCTGCAAAGATGTGTGGAATGGGACATCCCAGGGAGGACCACCGGCGGAGCAGGGCCAGACAGTCAGCCCCAGCTCTGCCCACCCAGGCCCAGGCCCAGGTCCCTGGCCACCACGCCTGGGACACAGCCCTGGGAGCAGATGCCTTCAGGCTGAAGGGGGCTTGGGCCCAGGCCAGCAGGCCCCCAGCACCCACAACCTGCTATCCTCACCTGCCACTGGCCATCCGCGGGCCTCCAGAGCTCGAGGGGCACCTCACGACAGTCCTGCAGGACCCACAGCCCCCGCTCCTCCTCAAACGCCACATCCCACACTCGGTGTGGGAACCTCAGCTGCTGTCTGAACTCCAGCTGCCTTCGGTAGGCACTGAGCTGGAACACGAAGACCACTGGAAGGCTTCCCAGGAGAGAGAGGACGTCATCACAGTGGCCAGCCCAGCCCTGGTGGGAGGACGGTGTCTCCTTCACCGGTCCCAACCACAGGACAGCCCGAGCCCTGAGCCCTTGGCCCAGCCACTCAGGAAGCATGGCCCTGGGCATGGCCCGCAGGCAGCCACATCCCCACCCTCCCAGGGGAGGCTGCACCCACACCAGGCCCCTTCCCAAGCTCACCAGTCACACAGAAGCACCACGCAGCTCTCCTGGACCCAGAATGCGATCCGGGACACGGCAAACCTCTGCAGGGAAATATAGCTGTTCACTGGCACTGCCTGTGCCCATCACAGAGGGCAGGCATCCCACGAGTGCCCCGCAAGCAGGGCAGGGGAGAGGGACAGTGGCAGCACACCCCGCCACACTGAGGCCGAGGGAAGCCTCTCTCTGACCCCAGAGCAGGCGGAACAGTGAGAAGCTGGAGGAGCAGCGCACACAGGACGCAGAGGGGCACACAGGGGTGGCGACATGGACACAGCTGCCCCGTTACACATGAGGGTACCCTCAGAGGTCCCAGATCTCAGAGTGTGGAAGGAGAGGCCCGCCACCCACTGCATTCCCCAGCAGAGGGAAAGGCGCAGCCTACAGGGACACAGCAGGCTGGGGCGGCCCTGTCTCCGCCTGCTGACAAAGTTCATGCCTGGGTTTTTGTGGCAGCTAAACACCACCACGTTTCCCACATCTAAGTGGAATTCGAGGCCTTTCTGTAAACTAGATGTGAAAATGTGAATTACTTCCCACCTGAGTGACCAGGCTCCGTCTGAACGTGAAGACTGTGCTTGTCTCCCAGATGGGTATCTACCCCGACGTCCAAGATGGCAACCTGGTTTCCCCACGCCCAAGCGCCCAGAGAGGCGCCCTGTGAGCCCGAGCTCCGCGTGTGGCTACCTTGTGGCCCTGGGGCTCCGTTGGCTCCTGAAGACTGGCCAGGTCACAGCAGTGCAGCTGGCGGCCGCTCCGGTACTCCCAGAGCCTCAGGGTGCAGTCCTGCAGACAGACAGGTTAGCACGCGGGGCCTTGGGCCCCAAGAGGCGGGAAGGTGTCAGGACAAGAGGACAGGATACTGATGGTGGCCAGGTATGGTCACCAGAAGTTACCGTGACCGCCACGCCACCACCATGAATGCAAGGCTCTCAGAAAGACAGAAAACAGACAGCCACACAGCACAGATCCAAGGCAGCCAGACTGTCACAAGCTAGGAGGTCAGAGTCCACACACAGACTTCAGTGGTCGTGGTGTGCACAGGGAGGAATGGTGTAAGCACACACGCGTACACTGCATGCAGGCACCTCAACAATCACGCAGGCACACGGGGAGGAATGTGCAGGGCTGATTAGCATGTGGCATCTGTGCCACCTCACTGGTTAAGAATGGGTGAGCACGGCAGGTCCCTGTGCCAATAGCCAGAATGTCAGGGATTCAGGTACCTGGCCTCAATATGCCAGACTTCATTCCGAGTGAAGAACGCTATTCATCACAGCGCTGCTCAGTGAAGCTGCCCACACGGAGTGGGACAGAGGGCATCCCTGGGGCAGTGGACGAGCCCTTGCTAAGTGGGTGCACCCAGCTCCGGCCCCCCCGCAGGACTCACTTCTGCCTGAGCCTAAACAGAGAGTGCATGGGCCAAGTGTGGCACTAAACACCAAGGGGAAGACAGGCTTGTCCTGCTCACAGAAGACACAAATGCAGGCAAGGAAACTTAAAACTTACGTGGAGGAAGCGAGAGAGCCCAAGCCCAGGCAGCCCAGGACAAGAAGCCTCCAGCTCACGACAGTGCTTGAGGTTAGCAACAGTGCTGCTCTTAACACTCCCAATGACATGGAAACTCCCACAGAAGGTGGGAGTGTGAACTTGAGGCAAACGCCCAAGAAGGGAAAGAAAGTGAGAAGATAAAGACACAGAGCAGGGGAAATTCAGAGAATCAAAGCAATTCAGCCACAGACTAATCAAGCTAGAGAAAAGTAGCAGGAAGCATAGGAAGCAAGGGAAGAAGATCCCCAAGACAGGGCTCTGAGGCCCCAGGGTACAGAGCGTCCCCCACACACTTCAGACTCCCGAGGGCGACTGCAGCAGGGCGGGGCCGAGGGGACCCCTGAACATCTCCAGTTACATTCGCAGATCCCACGCGAGGGAGGGCCCGATGCAGGACAGCTTCAGACAGGAGGGCAGAGAACGGAGGAGACGGCAGAGGATACCGTCAGGACTGCAGCCAGGGCTGGGGCTGGGGCTGGCTCGGGGTGAAGCATTTGCCTGCACGCATGAGGCCCGCAAAAAACCAGAACAAAACAGCCTCAAACTGGTGACCTATAGTCTGGGGTAGATTAAAGAGATTTCCGGAAAGAGAAGGCTCAAAGACCAGGCACTCTCTGTACCTCCTGAAAAGCTACTGGAAGACATGGGAGCCACCAAAATGTGGCAGTCCCTGTAGAGACAGGGCCTTAGGAGTCTGCTCTGTGCCCACGGGGGGCGCCTGGGGACCCTGCCACACTGGCTTCCTTCCCTCTACATCCACGTGGAGCACAGTGCTGAGGGGCAGGAGACAGCTCAAGGAAGCTGGGAGACGCCAGGGCCGGAGGCAGGGGAGGCACAGCCGGGGGCAGGTCAGCAGGCACCATCACTCCATGCCACAGCCAGAGAAGGGGCCTGGCTTTGTGAAGAAAAGGGACATTCCAGAGAACGCTCCTCAGAAGAAAGAGTCTCCACCTACTGGTGCGAGGCCTGCAGACCCAACTTCTGTGGCTGGGAAGTTTCCATGTGGCCAAGGCCTGGCAGGCACCCCACGGGTCCTCCGCTACCACATTACCCGCCAACCAGAGTGGGGTCTGACAGACAAGAGGGACCAGACCCTAGGAGGCTCCGTAGGGGTACCCTACCAACTATTCACAGGGTCACCCACACCGTCTGTCCTGGGACAAACGCCTTCCGGGCCCTCACAGAGCGCGGCACTTGGCCACCCAGGTACACCGCACATACCCCACATGTGCGCACACACACACACACACACACACTCATGTACACCTCATATACATGCGCGTGTGCGCACACACACAGGCCTGAGTGAATGGCTGAGGCCAGGGAGTGAGCCACAGGCGGCTCTAAGAATCAGGACACAGGCACCACCTAGTGGACGCCACTGACCAGCAGGGATGCAAGAGAACAATACTTGCAGGTGCGGGGGTGGCTCCCCAAGGGCACCAGCGTCCCCACACAGCGCACTCACCCCGGAAGAGGACAGCAGCAGCTCCGGATGGCCAGGCACCACCAAGATGCGGCTCACAAACCTGTAGGATGAGAGGCGAGGGTCAGTCCAGCTGTGGCGTGCAGCGTCTACCTCCGGAAGGGGCCTCTGCGGGCTCCACCATCCGCCAGGACCAGGAAGAGCTGCACGGTGACCGGGAAATGACTTCTGCCTGAGGAGAGGGCTGGCTGAGCTCCCCAGAGCACCTGCCTACCCTGCCACGCCTACACAGAAAGCAGGCGACATCGGGCGACAGAGTGGAGGAGGATGCAGCCCAAAAACAGGCAGGCGGGCCAGCCCAGCACTAGGGCCCCAAGTGACCCACCAGGGACCTGTCCACGCTTAGCCCAGTTCACTGGCACTAAGCCTGCAGCAGCACAGGACACAGCACCGCAGCCACCAAGGGCGGAAACCAGTTGCCACCGGTTTGAAAGTAAACAATGCGCTGCAATTCGTTTACACAGCCCCCAAGGAGTGGGCTGACCCAGCACCTGGGACACAGCGGGGTACTGAGGTACTGTACTCAGAGCCACCAGGGTGCCAGGGACGCAGTGAGAACAATGTGCACATGCCGTCACGGCTCAAGGGCACGACAGCCCCAGTGTGACCCGTGGCAGAGCTTCAGGAGGGCTGGATGCATCACAGAAAAGCCAAAGAGGAACAGGTGTAACGAACCCGTCCCCACAGGGCGGGATGGAGCTCAGCGGCAGCGTGTGCTTTTTAAATAAACAGGAGGTCCTGGGTCTACACACACACACACACACACACACACACACACACACGTGGAAAAAAGTAGGAAATTTTAAGCTTCTATTTAGCTCAGTATATCCACATTAAAAGGCCCACTACAGCAGTGCACACCTGTAATCTCAGCACTCAGGAAGCTGACGCAGGAGGATCACCAGGAGTTTGAGGCCAGCCTGAACTACATAGTGAGACCCTGATTTAAAAACAAAAAAAAAGGTACACCCAGGGCATTTCCCTGGAGAAGCCCCCAAGGGAGCAGGCAGCATCAGTGGGTGAGCTGAAGGGGCGAGGGAGGGTGTGAGCAGCAGCAGTGTGTGCCAGGACCTGAGACAGGAGTACACACTTGTCAGTGAAACACGGGGGACCTGCGGGTCACAAGTGCGCAGAGCTGGGTTAGGAACAACCACCTCAACGCCAAAGGTGACCCCCAGGGGCACAGACAGCGACACCAGCCTTCCTGAAGGGGCTTCTGCACCCCATGCAGCAAGCCTGGAACTCAATTACAGCTCTGCGGTGATTTCCACTGCGTCCCACCATTTCCAGGCCATGAGCGCACTGAGCGCTGCTCCCTCTCGCACGCCATTGTCAGCAGCGAGCTGCAGTGCACCAGGAGGCGTCTGCAGCAGGGGCAGAGCGGGCAGCGCATGCACTCACTCTGTGTGGCCCAGGCAGAAGGACTCGATGCAGTGGGGCGCTGCGGCCCAGCTGACACGGATCTTCTCGTCCCGGTCGGCAGTGAGCACGAAGCGGTCGTCGGGGCTCAGTGCCTATGGAGCAGTGGCAGAAAAGAGCAAGGAGCTCGCTCAGAGCTGACCCAGGACCCAGGAGCACCACTCCTCCCCAGGGAGGCGGGGCCTCTCTGCCCGGCAGCGCGGATCCCTGGGCCCCTGGGACAGCTCCCGGCCATCCCCAGCCGGGGCTCTGAGCTCAGCTGGGGGCCGGAGCCGCACCATGTCACACATGGACCCAACTCCTACTCCGCCCTCCCCACCAGAGCCCCAGGTCCAGACCGGCACCGTGCTCTGGTGCGTGTCACCCCTCCCCGTCTCCAGTGGACTGTGGTGCAGCTGCCCACCCACCCTGCGGTCCCTGCCCCACCCAGCTGCCCACCAGGTAGGGAGCAGCCACCCACCGCCCAGCCTGCGCAGCCCAACATGGGGCACCCCCACATACCACGTCCAGCAGCATGGACAGGTGCCCGAGCTCCAGCCTGCCACCCCCGAGCGGCTCCAGCACCGAGAAGGAGTAGACGTCTCCAGACTTGTCGGCCACCAGCACCCTCTCCTCAGAGGTGGTGAAGGTCAGGGCCGTGCACCGCCTCACCACGGACCTGCAGGGCCAGGCGCCCGTCAACGTCAGGGCACTTGGGCCCCTCTGACGGCTCAGCCTCACCCACCGCTGTCCTGCCAGCAGGGGCCACAGCCACTCGCGGCCCCTCACTCCTGGGCAGTAGGTAGCACCCACCAAGTCCGTGCCTGCCCGGCACGTCACAGGCGAGGCCTGGCCAGGAGGCCCCGCGCGGGTGCTGCAGGTCAGCGCCTCTCTACCTGCTACAGGCAACAGCACCAAAAATGATCGTGCAATGAACGCAAAGTGTGCCACGTGGTGCTTGTTGTAGCTGGTCCAGGAGCCAAACAGTTTCCGCTGGGAAGGGTCACAAGGCAGCGACACCCACAAATTCTACAGCATGCATTGAGCACCAAGTGATAACTCCAGTGTCAAGATGTTGGTGTGAGATGCGTCCAGTACCCAGTTCCGAGAGCTTCAAAGCAGCCAGCACGGAGGCCGGACTGCATGTGAGTATCTGACACAAGCCTGCCGACTCCGGGTAGGCTGGGGCCGGTCACCATGACAGGCAGGAAGCTGTCGCCACCCCGGAAGCTCTGCAGTGCACCTGAGAGCGGGAGACAGGCAGCTTCAGACACTGCATGTGCTGGGTCACCCTCAGGACCCGCGACTCTCAGGCCACTGCCGCCAGCTCCACCTGGTGGCAATGGGAATGCCACATGAGGTGCCAGGTGCTCCTGCCCTGTGCCTGTGAGGAGGAGGAGGAGGAGGAGGAGGAGGAACGGCAAGGCCAGGGGCATCCCGCCTTCACCAGATCCCCAACAGGGCCCAGGCCCCCATGTATGCAGGCTGGCTCAGTGAGCAACCAAGCTGCTGAGCCCCTTGGGACCAGCTGGGACCCCACCTGCTCCCGGTCACTGTGTGGCCTGCAGGACGCAACTCTCACAGGCAAGCTTTACTCTGCATGTCTCGCTCTACTCGGATCTCCTCCACACGTGCCCAATGTGCACTGTAGCACTGGCCCCAGCCGCACAGCACAGCCAACCCCCGCTCTCCTTTGCCACCCAAGAACGGGCAGCTGGCACCAAGCAGCTCACGGTGGACTGCCAGACGTCAGCCCGAATCGGCAGCTAAGCTGGCAGACCTGCGTGGCCAACATGGGACCGGGCAGGACAGAGGACAGCAAAGCAGCAGGACAGCCACACCACATCTCTGCCACAGCGACTGGACCGAGGGGACCACTCCTCCTTACCTCCTCCTGCCCCAGCCGCAGGCTTGGGCAGATGCGGAGGAGCAGGGACAACAGAAAATGACAGGCCCAGGCAGGGCTGATCGGGACCACAGGCACTGCACACTGGGCCAGCAATGCAGCCTGAGCAGCACAGCGAGCACTGCGGACCCAGAAGGGCTGCTGCCCGGGACACGGTGCGAGTGGCACAGGTGCCTGAAGAGCTGGTACCCTCAGTTCACCCTCTGTCTTATTCCAGCTGCAGGAGACCAGCTCCTCACAGTCAATTTGTCCCAGCAGAAGCCAGGTGCCATGGGAGTGGGGATCAGGATGTAAGCAGCCAGATGCAGATGGCAGGGCATGAGGCAGCACGCAAGCCCACACAACCTCAGGCCCCAGGGACCAGCACCTGCCTTCCTCGCTGAGGCACTAGGCACATGGCCACAGCCCACAGGACAGAGGAACAGTGCTGTTCCCCATCCCGAGTGCTGGCCCCCTAGAGCACCCTGCTGCTGAGCAGGGCCAGGGCGCCAGGGTATCAGGCAGTATTCCCTAACTCCTGCACCCAGCAGCTGACGTGGAGCAATCCCAGCTCTGACTTCCGGGCACCCTACTGTCCTGGGTTTCATCCAGAGGACAAGGGGGGGATTCACCTGCAGCTGGGCTCAGAGACCCTGGAAGAGGGGACCCCGAGCCAAAGGCAGCCAAACAGCAGAAGAGAGTGAGGCCAGGCTCCCCAGAGGCTGGGGACGTGGCTCTGTGTCACAGCAAGTCCTAGGATACCCTGGGTTCAATCCCCAGCACTGCCAAATAAAAAAGACCAAAAACAAAAACCAAGAGCACATATCCAAAGGGAAAAACTGCTGGGCAGCAGCTGCTGTTCTCAGCCACCTTTCCACTCTGCCCAGCCTGACTTTCATTACCATGTGTTGCTTTCAAGACGCAGCACTGCCCAGCCTGGCGCCATGCACAGGACGAGTGGGGACAGGCGGTTGACTCACAGCTCCCGGGTCTGCATGCCCCGGAGCGCTGCCCCCAGTGATGCCAACTAGAAGCCACCAGGCTCAAGAGCCTTCTTGTCCTCCACCCTCAGACCATGCTGGACACAGGGCACAGACCTGATCCCTTCGAGTGTCAGAGCCCACCAGGGTGCAGGAGTGGTGGGGCACCTCAAATTCGGGGTGAGCTGCAAGCCACACTGACACAAAGCGACACTGCTCACCGGGAGGGACAGTAGTCACGACCACATGACACCCGAAGAATGAGGACAAACATGGGCCCCACCGCACGGCACGCTGTGTCCCCACACCTCTGCCAGCAGCTCTCGACACAGGGGCCACCTCCACGGTTGGGCCTCATCCCCAGGGACGGGGTGCACAGCCTGACAAGGTGGTCTGGGCCGTGGGCACCCTAGATGCTGCCGAGGCATCGCCTTCCTGGAGAACTGACCCGGGTCCCTTCACCACCCCATGACCTCTGGGCGAGTTCTGCAAGTCCTTCTCGTGAACTGGTGAGCCTGAGGGGCCCTGGGACTCCAAACCCGCAGCTGGAGTCAGATGGGAGGGATCTGGAGGACTGCAGCCTCCAGCTCGCCCCCACGCAAATTTCCAGACCGAACGAGAAAGAGGCACTGGAAACAGTTTCGGCAGGACAGCAACAACCTACCTGTCTCACAGCAAGGGTGACAGTGTGGGGGGACAGGGGACAAACTACTGCTCAGAGCACACAGAGCAACCCACACACACACACACACGTGTGACTCGGTGGGGAACCCCAGAGGCCACACCCATGCTTGTGCAGCTCACCAGTGGGGAGATCCAGGGTACTTTTCTGGGTTTATACTTCTCTGTGATTTTCAACTTTGTGTAACAACCAAATCAAAGGAGAAAAATGGGAAAATCAATGCAGGTCACCTACATGTCCTATCCTCCAGGACAGACTCCCGGTTAACTTCATGACCTAACTGACTAACTTACCAAAGCCCACAGAGACCCTGGATGTGAGGTCCCACAAGAGGCCTGAACCACATGTCAGTGTGCGAATCACAGATCTGTCCCCATCTGGGTCATAAATGGCCCCAAAGGCCATGCTCAGAAGGTCTGGTCCCCAGTTGTGCTCTACAGAGCGGTGGTGGAATCCTAAAGAGATGGAGCCCCGCAGGGTAATGAGGTCACCGGGCGTCCCTGAGGGTACCCAGCCCCTCTTCTCTCTGCTTCCTGGCTACCACAGAGCCAGCAGCTGAGTTCCACCACACACTCCTGCCAAGAGGTTCTGCCTCAGCACTGACCCAAGAGCAATGCTGCCAGCTGTCCAGGGCTCTGGAACCATGAGCCAGAATAAACCTTCCTCCTTGACGGTGCTTATCTGACAGTTACCATGACAGAAAGCTGGAAGATGCAACACCACACAAGGGGCCCCTACAATCAGTGTAAAAAGGAGCCACCTCCAACTGAAAAAAGAAATGCAACAAAAGCTCACAAAACACAAATGACTCTTCAGTATACACAAAAATTGGCCAACCTCATTCATAAGAGAGAAGTACAAGATACCATTTCTCTTTCATCAGACTGCCTAAAATTGTACGATGTCAGATGACCTTGATGAGGTGGTCCACGAGGAGAAAGAGGCCCTTTCCAATTTTATTTCTGTCACACTTGCAGCACTGGGGACTGAACCCAGGGCCACACACTTGCTGGGCAAGCACTGTCTGACCCACATCCCAGCCCCAAGAGGCACTCTGTACTCGGAGAGGAGGACAGCTACCACTCCCCAGAAATCATCTACCCAAAGCACCAAGGGGACCTGCCAGTGCATCTGGAGGGGTCCCTCCTACTGGTTCACACACAGATGAGAAATGGCACATCCATGTGTGCAAATCCACCAAAGCACTCTTGCAGCAGAACAAGCAGCATACATGAGAGAGTCCATCGATGGAGGGATGGTTAACAAAATCACACAGTTCGGCAGCCCCAGCCCCTGCCCCTTACAGTCCCCAGCCAGTGCTGAGATCCACCGCCCTCTTCCTAGTCCACATCGGCCTCGCTTTTCCTCGCCTCCAAAGCAACCTCCAGTACGAGAAGACAGCAGGCCTCCTCCCGCAGCTATGTCTCTCAGCCTCAAACACAGCCTCAAGTCTGCAGCACCAGAATTCAGCACAACCAAAGCACAGGTCGAGGGCAGGGTGGAACTCAGCAGAGGAGCCCGAGCCCAGCCAGCATGAGGCCCTGGAGTCAGTAAAGCGCCTGTCACCCACCCCAGTGCACACTGCGTGACTAAGCCTGCACTGTCACAGGTGACCAGGCGCCTGTGCATAGGTCCACGGCACAGCTTAGCCACCTTAGCAGACAAATTCCCACCAGGATCTTTCAGATCATTTGACCTGAGCATCTGATGGAGCCCTGCATGTTCTCCACACATAAACTTAGCAACCAGCATCAGGAAGGCAGGAGTAACTGCTGTGAACTAAACCATGACCTCCACCTGTCCCAAACTCACAGTTCAACCCCTGACCTTCCCAGCACCACAGAACGGGACTGTACAGAGGCGACACAGACCCAGCAGAGCCAGGGCCAGAGCCAGGGCCAGGATGACTGTGTCGAGCACAGACACACTGCAGCGCCTGACCTCACACTGCCAGCCTGCAGGTTCCAGTGGGGGACCCAGTGGGAAACCCCAAGGCCACCCTGCCAGATTCACCTCTAGTCCTAAAGATACTTCACCTGGCCCACACCTCACCTGACTCACTAGTGCGGAGCTACTTTGTATATGTGCTGCTGAAGTGAGCACAGTGCGGAGCTACTCTGACGAGAGGCCTCTGAAGATCAGGATCACGCTCACCAGACAGGTGGACACAACAGTTTCACATCAATCAGACACATGGTGACACACTTTAAGTCACTCTTGTACTAGCGAGCTGCCAGGCCTGTGAGAAGTTTGGTGTGTCCCTGAGCATCCTAGATTTGTCCTGTGTTAAATTTCTCCACCATTTACATCTTTTACCTATGTGATACCCAAAAACGGACTTATGCCAAAAACAAAGCAATGCTGTGAGACTTTACTTTGAATCTGACTGGAAAAGAGGGCAGCTTGGATCCTCTTGCTTCTGACGTCACCTGGGATTCAACTTTTTACCCTTCTCTTAGACAATAAGATTAAAATTAAAAGTCTACAAAGATCAGTTGAACCCAATATGGTATGAGCCAGCTGGTAAGAGAAATTCCCTAACCTCAGTGGTTCACACATTGTGAAGTCCGTGTTTATCGCTGATGACACGGGCTGTCAAGAAACAGCTAAGCCACAGAGGTTCAAGGTGGAAATGAGGGGCCCGAGCATGTCCATTTCATCATCACAGAACAACCAGAACCCGTGATGCACACAGCTAACATGCGTCAGATTACCAGAGCCAAAATAAATGCAAATCTGGCCAGGTACAATGGTACATACCTGTAACCCCAGCTACTCTGGAGGGTGAGGCAGGAGGATGGTAAGTAAATGCAAGGCCAGCCTGGGCAACTTAACAAGACCTTGCCTCAAAAAAAAAAAAGGCTGGGGACGTAGCTCAGAACAAGGCCCCAGGTTCAAGCCCCAGTACTGGAAAAAAAGAAGAGAAGAGAAGAGGAGAGGAATACATAAAGCAGCACGTATAGGACTCCACCAGGTAAGAGGAATACAGGCCCAGCGCTGGTGCTCCTGCCTGCATTACTGACCTCTCCCCCAGACACCCAGTCCCACCCGCTCTGCAAGTACACAGAAAGAAGCGTTCTCAGCTCCATCACTCTGAGCCAGCTGGCCCAAGACAGGCCTTACCACGCTCACGGGCTGCTAGAAGAATTCAGTGAGTTAATACACATAAACTGCTGGAATCCGTGCCTGGCACCTAGCTGGGACTCCTTAGTTGCTTATCGCTACAGTTACTGTCACTACTGCTACTGACATGCAAGTACAGGGTGTGCACAGGACAACTTAAGGATTCAACATTAGCATTTCATACCTGACACTCAGACATTGCCATGGTTTTGTACGGAAAAGAATCAGACGCTTACTGTCATCAGTTAAAGCAAAATAGCTGCCAGACTTGGAGAAGGTGGACGCCAGAATTGTGTCACTCCCCTGGTCCACGGGCTGTCCGTCCTCCCTAGGAGAGAGAAAAGGCAACAGTGAGGCCTCACCTGAGGAAGGACAGCTTTGTTCCTCGATGGCTAGCCTTGCCTGTGGAAGACCACAATACTGCTTATGCCCAAAGCAAAGTGCAGAGAGGCGTGAAGAGTGAACCTCACAGTTGGTTTGTTTATGGCCGAAGCCTGTGTGCCAAGGTCAGAGTAACTCACACCCAAGTTCTGTTCCCACAACTAAAGCCTTAACTAGAAGGACAATGTTCTAATTACAACCTTATATTCTGTCTATTCTGTTCCTAATTCAAGAATCCTGTCTCTTCCTTTTCAAGCCTTATCTCCATTAGTTTCCATAGAAACCATACAACTGCATATCCTAGTTTGCCTTTACCCCAACTAAACTAAAAACCAGTAGCTTAGGGGACCTGGGATTTTTAGCTCAGTGGTTCTGCCACCTGCCTTGAAAGCACAAGGTCCTGAGTTCTATCCCCGGTACCAAAAAATAAAAAACAAAACAGTGATGGCTTGAACTGGTCAGCACCTTTTGCTAAAGTAGCACTGGCCATCCTAGTTCCCCGATTTCTGTCTCTCTTAGTTCTTTTAGTTTTTTTTCTCAGGCATGCAACATACCCTGAGCAGGAAACTGGAGCCTACTGCAGAGGTTTCCAGTAACGCTTCAGGGATTTCCAGTACTTGTCAGTGTAGTGAGCAGAAGCAGAAAAGAGGTAAACAGTCACGCAGCCAGACTATGAAGGGGACACTGAAGGCTCAAAAAAGCAGCTCTAGGTTCACAAAGGTAAACCCTAACTAAACAGAGAATGTCAGCAAACATGGTAGAAGCCAAAGCACTAGATGGAAAACCTGAGAAATCACACAGCCCACCCTTCATGGACACAACTAATCCAAGATCACCGGCAGGGACCAAACCATATTACAAGAGAACTGAGCCATAAGACCAAATGTACTCAAGAAAGCCACCATATGACATCATCACACGGTCTGCTTCCATCTCTCACTTACCCAAAGTTACACCCGCCTTCAGTGCATTTCAAGTGTTCATTATCACTTCAAGGAGCCAAGGATGGTCACTGGCAGGAACTCAATGATTTGGAAAAGTCCTAAATACTCTCAATCCCTAACTTGAAAGCTACCTTCACGTTTCTTTCCTGAGGTAGAACTTACTCATCCACACCATAAGTGATAGAAATTAAGAATTCATCAACACAGCTACTGCCTGCACTCCCGGCCCCATCAACCAAACCACTGGGTCCTGCTGGTGCCTCCCCACAATCTTACCCTTTATTCTCTTGCACCTTCTTTTCTGCAGCACTGCAATCATATGTGAAGAGGCTGCCATCATCACTAAAAGGAAAACAACAGAATGAACACTTTGTTAACAAAAATGCTGGTTTTCTTTTCCCTTGAACCAAAAATATTTGTGTACTTATTAAATTGTGGGTCTTATCCATGACAAAAAAGAAAACCGTCTAGGTATAATATTTCAGAGAAGAGTTAAGGAGCTTTATTTGCTTAACTTAGTTGGGTAAGTCAGACACAATCAGCACAGTTCTCTCTATCAGTTCAGCATGACGGCACATGTCTTTAATCCCAGCACTGAGGAGGCTGAGGCAGGAAGATCACTGGGAGTTCGAGGCTAGCCTGGACTACATACCAAGACACTGTCTCAAAAAAACAAAGGGACTGGGGATTTAGCTCAGTGGTTCCAGCACCTGCCTCACAGCACAAGGGCCTGAGTTCAATCCCTAGTACCAAAAAAACAAAACAAAACAAAACAAAAAGAAAATCTGTTCAGTAAAAGAAAGTGGGAAGGGAGGCAGAAATAAAAAATAAATGAATGAATGAAAAACTCAGCAGGAATTAATGCCACTCTTTCAAGTACTAAAAACACGGCCAGGCAGGGTGGTGCACACCTGTAATTCCAATACTTGGGAGGTTGAAGCAGAAGATCACTGTGAGTTCAAGGCCAGCTTTAACTACACACTGAGACCCTGTCTCAAATGTAAATAAATAAATGAAACAACATGGTTATAAAACAGTATGTTGATATTGCTGAGTTTTCTATAGGATTCTGCACCCAAATTTCAAAACATTACCAGTTCAGGAAAATGCTTATCTACCTGAAAAAGCTCCCATGACCCACTGTAGGAATCATCCATCTTCTCTATCAGACCCTAAGTCAATGAAGAGGAACCTTTTGGAGCTTTCAAGATACAAACAGCCTGCTGTAGCACACAGACATAGATTCGCCACCACTGACCTAAGCTATCCTGCTTCTCCCATCTCCAGGCCCATGGAAACTATCTCGTGCATACCAGTGATGGTGAACCTATGGCACATGAGCCACAGCAGGTTGGTTGTATCACTGAAAGCTCTAAAAGGTTCACCACCCCTGACTGCACCCTATGCTTTTCACAGGGGAACACTGAAAACTGTGAAGACAGAGAAGTCTTTGCTATCCCTGAAGTTACTCCAATAACAGACTGAAGCAAGCAGATGGTATCTAACATGCCCACGGTTCACTGCGACAAGTATTAGGGGCTGTAGGTCTCTAAAGCAAAACAATCTGGGATATGTGATGGGTTTGTAAATTGTGAAGTCTGTATTTAATACCGGACAGACTGTACAGTGCATGTTTAACACACACGTCATCTACTTTAAGTATGGAAGAATTAAAACTACCCTGGGGAAGGAAACGAGCAGCTGACTGACCACCACTAAATGCCCCGGCATCCAGGTTCCTAAATCAAGCGTATTTGATTAATAAACAATATTTACCGATTTGAGAATCCTGGGTGCTTTCCATGCCCTGGGAATACACTAAGGCAAGAGAATGAAATTACAGAAAGCAAAGACACAATGTGAAGGGCAATGGGAGGTGCGCGATGCAGGACGTGAACGCATCCCTGGTATGGAATCCTCTTATTGCCCCAGCGCTGTACGTCATTAGGACCAACTGGGTGAACACAGGTCTGAAAGGAGCGGCAGGTACAACCCGAAGGAGAGGTGGCAGGGGGCGCGCTGAGGGACGGGGAAGAGTCTGCCGAGCGGACAGTGAAGCCCGCCTCACCCGCGACGCCCGGAGCTGGGCTAGCCAGTGTCGCTCCACGTAACCCGGCCCACGCGGTGGCCGCACGGCAGCCGAAGAGCCCGGAGTCCAGAAGTGACTCATGCTGCCCGGGCGAGAGCGCCGCACACCCGCAGTCCAGGGAAGGAACAGCCCCGCCACGCCGCGGGCTGACAGCTGCGGCACATTCCCTGGGAAGGAATCGGGGTCTTCAGGACCGAAGCGCACCCGCAGCTCCAGGCCCGGGGCCCCCTCACCTGGTCGCAGTGGAGATGGCCAGGAATCGGCTGCCGCCCCGCACCACCAGCGCCTGCCCGCACAATGCCAGCCCCGCGGAACTCGCCATAGACTCTCCCTCCCCTACGCCACTCGCGTGCGCGGTACTGCGCCTCTTCCGCTCGGCGCGGGTCAGTGACGTCACACGCAGGTG